TTGAAGTTGATTTATTCGGATGAGAAATTCACGCCATCGGCAGATCCTATATATAATCATGTTTAACACAAACAGACTCGCGTGTAAATTTCATTAACTTTCCAACTTAATAACTCTCCGTTGTTTAAAATTGGTTACTTGCTACTTTATTTTCATTGGAGAAATTAACTGGAAAATTAACGGGCGTGGCTTTCTAGTTTCTTCTAGAAATCTTCACTAGTATTTCTCGCGTAGTTATATTCCGGCTTAAAAGTTTCGGCAAACTTGAATTTGCAACTTTCGCGTAATCGGTAAGATATATTTCTCTCCGTGTCAAAAGTTAACATGCTTTCTATCGTATAATCGGGGAAGGAGAACAAGGTTAAAAAAACGGTTAAAAATATCTCGACCTTCCAATGTTGGTCACGCAGGTGTTGAAATCATCGAGATACTGTTGTTAATTTTCCAAAATGAAAAAAAAGTTTAATCGATCCCTCCAAAATTGGAGATTAGAGAATTATGATGAGTTTGCCTCTTCGCTCATTTCAATTTTTCAACTGCGTGGCTATGTTTAAATTGCTGATAATTCTATTGACATTGGATTTAAGAAAAGAGAGTGCATAAAATGACACGTTTTGGATAATAGTTATCAGTGCGTATGTGTGTGGACTAACATTTCAATTTTTCTCGTGCAAAAATTAAAGATGTTAATCGAATTAAACGAATTAACAAATATGATTGCAATAAGTGCAAAGTGTAATAATTACAATGACAGGTGAAAAGATGTGTGTATAATTTTAATTTTAGATTGTCCAATTGCGAAAAAAGCGAACACTCACGAAGAATTTTCGTTAGTCATAGTGAATATCAATCTCGTATATCAATCACTCTTCTCACATATCATCGTAAGAGCTATTCGTGACTCGTTGTCGATCAATCCTCAATTTTTTAATAAAAATCCCAATTTTCATACGCCAAATTTTCTTGGTGGGGGGACGTGGATAAGCAAAAGTAACTCTGAAAACATTTTTCACTAATATCACCTCGTCGAGGCACCGCGACGGCAAAATTTCTAATTAGATTTCTCGATAGCGAATTAATTGAATGAAAGGAATGAAATTCCTCGATTTTTATAGAGTATAGCGATTCTTAAAATCTTGGCTTATTCCCTTGAATGCCGTTAACGTTCAAAAGATAGGTACTTGCACTATCTGCTGCTAGATTGGGATTAATTTGACGGGATAATATATAAAGTAAAAATATTAGAAGAAAAATTAGGAACTTTAAGATTCGATCATTTTTATCTTGAAGTTTTCACGACTTCTCGACGAGTCATGGTCACAAAGAGAGGGAAGAAATCATTTGAAAGAATTTTACTTTCATCTTCTCTATAAATTGAAAACTTTCAACACGAATCTATCAAATCGTAATAAACAATTGTTTTTAATACAAGAATCTCTCGAATTATTATTATTATTATTATTATTAGAAAAACGCATAAATTTATATCGACTCGTACGAAAGGATCGAAAAGCACTAGACTTTTAGCCGATAGTGTATCTACCTTGACCAACGAAATATCGCCGAAAAAAAAAAAAATAAATAAATAAATAAAACGATATTAATAAATTAGTCAATATTCATGTTCCTCGAGCGTTAAAATTAAAATTCGTCGCAGTGTCCTTCCAGGCGTTCACATCGTTTTATCGCGCACATTTTCTCATATCATCATCGATGTCGTTTGCCATTTTTCTAAACCATTTTTCGTAACTCTAAGGGCGGAGATTAGGAGTAATAAAATCGGGAAGAAAAGATTAAAAAAAAAAAGGGGGAGGGATACGATCTATCTTTCGATCGACGAAGGGAAAAAGAAAGAAAGAAAGAAAAAAATCATTTTATCGAGAGATTCCTCGATCTAGGATGAATTTAATAAGCGATCCGTGAAAACGCCGATCGTGGCCGATCTAAAAAGAGAGAAAAAAAGAAAAAAGAGGGTTT